TGTAGGGATCGTGATCAGCTCGCACAGAAGTTGGTATTTCCAAGCGCTTTCTCTACTTGACAAGCGCACCAATGGGTGTGCGATTCTTTCCTCCGTTGCTCGTGACAAACCAATGTGTGTGTGTGTCCTCAAATCAGGCAGACACAGAGCTGTGAACTCGGCCCCGCGGGACATTAGGCCTCCAGGGCCGCAATTTGGGGCAGGCTATACCTGATTCGGCATAGACAAAGATAGGGGAAGGGCAAGCGTGCGTCACGCAACATCTCTCTATTCCACTTCGCAGCTATCACGCGCAACTATAATGCCATGGCAGCTGGTAGCTCTGTTCAGATCGGATTACTTTGCGCGAGTTCTTTATATGCGAGCTGGCCTGCTTGTTCCCTACTGCAACTTTGCCGTACTATACAAACACGAAGGCCCTGACGATTGACAACAGCACCCAGGTAGCTACACGTTTACCGCAAATCATCCTTTCCCCTGTACACATATTCTCTAACACGCTAAATCATAACAGCATCTCCATCAGCGTCCCACTCAACCTCCACCCTGTCCATCGGATCCTGATGCACACCAAAAGGCCCCATCGCTTTCTTCCAGCACACGTACTCCGCACGATGTAGCACATCCGGCTCGGCCTTCAATCGCCACGGCGTACCACCCTTCGACTCCCACGTCGACATAGTCCACGGCGGGAAGTAGAGATACACCGCAATCTCGGCGTCGCGACATATTTTGCGTACATCGTCGATTGGATCTAGACAGTTGTCCAGTTCGGCGCTGAATCTGGTGTTGTCTAAATGTTCCATATGATAGGCTTCTATGCGCGTGAGGTTGGGTAGGTGGAGCTTTTTCTTAGCGAGACAGAGCGTATTTAGGAAGTTGGCTGTGATGTGCGTCGCCTCGCTGATGCGTAGGACTTCTAGCGTCTTCGGGAAGATCTCCGCGGGATCCGTAATTGGCAGTCCTTGTCGTATGATTCCATGGCCTTGTATCGCCTTCATAGTCAGACCGACTTCCCTCAGGCTCTCGAAGCGGCGGAGGTCGAAGACCGTAGTCACGCTGTGGGAGTACCTTATCGCTGTCATGTCGCTCGGTATCTCAAGCACTGTCAGATGAGGCAGCTTTGCTGTGAGTGCTCCAAGCAAGAACTTGTGCTTCCACTCGTATGGTAGTGTATAGCTTGCGCGAGCGGATGCAGACCGTGTACTCGCGAAGAGAGGAAAGTCCATGAGCCATGTATCGCCGAGCTTCAACTCGCGTAGATTGGGTAGAGCACAGATAAGGACGGCGAATAATGCAGGGACAATGTCATCTCTGATGGCCTCTAGCCAATCCTTTGCATGTCGCTTGTTGGTAGCGAAGTGATTGATCATGACCCCACATGCTTCCAGAAACTCTGCGTCCTGCCTTATGTAATCCGGAGCAGGTAGCGCATTGTACTTGGGTTGGGTGAGATATACTTGTACCCCAGTACGAGTAGTATGTTGGGTTCTGGTTGTCCTGCCTTCACTCTTACTCCAAATCTCCAAGCTCTTGACCTGACCGAGCAAGTGCGACCGGTAGCCCAGTTCTGACATGTACCGATCGATGAATGCGAGATTGAACCTTGGTTCTTTGAGTAGCCATTCTTGCGCGACAGGGCGCCATCTCTTGGATACGAGCGCAAGAGTTGCAAGATCCCGATTGCGACTCAAACTCGTGAACTGTGCGCCGATGTTGAGAAGTAATTCTTCGGGAAGATCACCGATGGTCTTAGGTGTGCGAGGTGAATGTGAGAACGCGGATGGTCGGAACATGATGGGTAAGCTAGAGAAATTCGGGCTTGAGCAAGGGCCGCGCGGGCTGTGATATGGTGGGGTAGGCGCGAGGCTGAGATGTCAAATTAGGCAGCGGCGATGAGTGGTTGACTGGCGCACAGGCAGCGATAGGGTATCATCGACGGATAACAAGCTGCCAGAAGATACGAATGAGCTTGCGCTACGGTAGGAGTTGGGTCACATTGAGTGCGGGGTGACCAAAGTTTGGAAGTTCGGAAGAAGCGCACGGTTGTGTCACGTGTTTGTGTCTTTCACGTCTGATCTTTCGGCGAGCAGATGCAGCTGATGACTTCGGCCCATCTCATGCCCCCTACTCTTCCCAGCATACTAAGGATACTATCTAGAATCTTCCACAGCTCGATAATCCACCCTGAACATATGCAGAGACAGGTCGGCCCAGAAACCTAGCCCATGACGCATTCCGTCCATGTTCATCTAATCATTACGTACCACCCAAACATTCTGAACAGTCCTTGTAGCATAACCTCTTCTTCGGTTGCAGCAGTATCTTCCAGGCAACGCTAGCCCACAGTGTCTCACTGAACTCCGCGGCTATGGGAATATTGACAGATTCCAGCTGCAGACGTTCTATGTCCTCATCCAAGCCGTGCGCCTTATCGGTGATGTATGATGCAGGCTCGGTGAATTCAGCTTTCTTGGACCGCTTTGTCTGCTCTTCCCTCGCACACGGTTTCTTGATCGAGTCTCTGTACTGATCTGGAGACTGTGCGTTCGTACTCTCCGTGGTGACAAAGCTCGCACCAAGGAATAGAGTCTCTTTAGCGAGAGGCGCAAGTTTCTGCTCGAAGCGAAGAGTGAACTGGAAACTGTCCAGATCTGCCGTGCGCGTTAGTCTTGTGTCAGTATCGCATCAATACCAGACTCACTCAGTAATGGCGAAAGCCGTCGCCTGAACGCACGCTTCCCCAGAGCCCTGTCAGCCCATCCACTAGAGTCGATTGTCGCTTGCTTCTTGTTTGGTTCTTGAAGCTGCGGATCCCACTTGCTGTTCCTGATACCACGAAAGAATGCACTCTGTACCCACAACCTCAAATCAAATGTGGGGCTGTTCAGGAGTTGCGAGTGGTGGTCAGCGTGGCGTAAGAACACCCTGACGCCAAAGGCCAGTTGAGACTGTCTGCTTGCTTCTGGAGCCCACTCAGAGAATGGCGCAGATGATCCTGAACAGCGCCACATTTCCAGAGGCCGTAAACGATAAAACGCCTCGAGTTCTTTGCGCATGTCGCCGGAGACCTCTTGGGACCCACTATGGAAGGTCACTTTGATACCTTTGCGATCGAGATTTGTAAGTAGTTCAAGGTAATCCAGCCGACCCAGATCGAAAGCGTTACACAGTATGATGAGTTGTTTACACGGCGTGTTGAAAGATAGCTCAACGTGCTTGAGTCTCAGGTCGCCCACGGGGATTTCGTTTATTCTTTGCAAAAAAGCAAACATCCATTTGTTACACGAGCGCAAGTGAAGGCGTTGGATAGTGAGTGGTATGACTTTGGAACGTGCCTCTTCTAAAGTCTTTTTAGCCGGAAGCGCATCATTGACACGTGCTGCAATAGGTTTGGCCGCAAGAGAGAAGACTATGTCGTCGGGGCGTCCAAGAATGCCCATGGGTATGTCAAGCCACTTCAATCTTGCGAAATCCGCCAGTGTGATTATGTGCGATCCCATACTCCTCCATTTGGCATCGTGCGACTCAAGAACCTCGATGGTGGGCGGCCCTTTCCATCTGGTGTTCTCCGCGATTGTGAGAGCTTCGAGCTTGGCCTGGAACAGTGGTAACGCTGGTCCTTGGAATGGAGCACCGGGTAGCATCTCAAGATTCAGCGCTGGAAAGGCTAGAGGTGCCCGCTGAAGCGAACGTGGCGGTTGGCTGGAGAAAAATGGCCGCACTTCCGGTAGCTGAACAGTCACCGATTTGATGTTGGGACACGATATCGCGAGAAGATTAAGATAAAGCGCTGGTTCCTTCCTCCATATGGTACCGACTGAGGCGTTGCTTTCCCAAACCCGGTTCCAGTCCGGGGTATGTCCAGTAGTCGTAGAGATGGCTGCGCCAAGACCTTCCAGTGTGTCCAGGTCGAGAATGTTTCCATTCGCGCAGAAACAGCCTACGTGGTGACTGCACCCGAAATCCCCAAGATTGATACTGAGTACCTTGTTAAGAAGTTCTGGCTGATAGCTAAGCATTTGCAAGAAGCCTTTGACGTTCCTCCCCGACACGATCAGCTCTCGCACGATGGTCTCTTGAACAATTTCTCCAAGACGTTTGCTGACCAGTCCAAAATTGAAGATGTGCGTAGTGCCGAGCATGTTGGAAGCTATCATTTCAAGGAGTTCGGATGGGAGGCGCAGCATTCCGTTGTTTTGATCAAGGTGGGTGTCGACTTCGTCCAACAGCGCAGACGTATCGTGCTGGTCGCCATCTTGGGAGTCTTCGGGGCTAAATTCTGGTATCGCGGCTTCCCGTGAGAGAGGTGGTGTCTTGACTCCGTTTGCGGGACTCGCTACGCGTCGCTTCCTGGGACTAGAGCTGGGTGGCGTCATCGGCGCCATCGCGATATGAAGAGGGTGAGATGTGGTTTGGGTGGTTGAGTCGAAGCGCAGATTATCGCGCTGGTATACTGGTGTTCTGGCAAATATCCATGGGCGCATGTGAGTACTGTGGGTCAGTCACAAGGGCGGCTACCGCGGTACCTGCATATGGTCAGTTATCGGGTGACGTAATCGAGTGAATGTAGTGGGGTATTACTTGAAAGACCTCCCTAGACTGTGAAAGAATGTCTTTGCTTCGTGGCTTAAAGGTAAAGAAAGTGTATTGCGCAACATGTGTACCGTGGCTGCTCGTTGACTGAGGTGCAAGGAGGGTGTGACACGTCCGCGCCAAGCCGCTAGTATACAAGCAGGTGACTCGTTCCAATGCTCTTTCCATTGACACGCATGCCCTACTAAGATAAGAAACGATAGCTATGCGCACACTTGGGTATAAGGATATTCATTTCGTGTCGCTTCAAACCTTGCCAAACACTGCAGTATCGCGTCGCATCCCGGTGCGTCATGTTACCTCTACCCTAAAAGACAGGGCTCACATGCCCAAGACCGACAGTGGCGTTGAGATGTACTCTTCCCAAAACACATTTATCCGTCAAATTACTGACTTTATACCGCCTACATCTCCTTCGTTGTAACCCTAAGGAATTGCAGCTCCTTGGGCTTGTGCGCAGAATGCCAATTAGGGTCAACCAAAGGGGCGACAGTAAGCACGTTGCCACTCTCGTCTTCAAGTTTGAAGTCAAAGGTAGCAATAAAGTACGCCGTGATAACATTTTGCTCGAGTTTCGCAAAGCGCATGCCTAAACACGGATGCCGTCCTGACCCCCAGCCAAGGAAGCCATGTGCTGCCTTCTTCTTGTCCTCCGCACGATCTGGCATGTATCGAGCCGGATCCCACTTCTGTGGGTCGGGATAGATCTCTGGATCATAGTGTATGTCGCCCGGGGCGTATGTGACGAATGCGCCGGGTGGTATGACTTCGTCGCCGTTACCCGTGGGTATGTTCTTGCCGCTGATGTTCCGCCTGAAGGCCGTGCCAAGAAGGTTCAGACGTAGGGAGTCTCGCAGACACATGTCGATGACTGGGAACTCGCCTTCCCATGCCTCTATAGGTATGTCGTCGAGCTGCTGGAGCAAGGGTGCGTTCGGATCCTTAGTGTACCTCGCCGCATTGCTGCGGACTTCGTCGTTCGCTTTGGCGAGCCACTCGGGTGAGGTCGCTAGATAGGACATAACCTAGTTGATATTAGCTTACATTCTATCGATGTAAGGTATAAGGGGGCTTAAAAGTACTCACCCAGGCTACATTGATACCGCTGTTGAGTAGACCAGCGAACAACGCTCCAATGACGAACTGAGAGACTCTCTCGGCGCGATCACCCTGATCCAGCAAGTACTGCAGCGCATCATCGTGCTTCTCGTCGCTTGCCGCACGCTTCTTGATGATTTTGTCGATCATCATATAGAGTTGCGCTCCTGCCCAGTTCCGTTTCAAGAGAGCCGGTGAAGGGAGCTTCGGGAACAAGACTGACGTAGCGGTAGAGCTGCTTTCAATCGTCTCAAACATCTTTAGAACCTCCTCCAGCATCTGAGGGTCTTCGGCAATCTCAGTAGCGCCTACCATGCGGATGGTGAGGCGGAAGACGATCCGGTACAGGCTCTCGAACGGATTGGTACGGCCGCTGGGCTCATTCTTGATGGCTTCGAGAGCTTGCTTTGTGTCGGATATCAAGATAGGCAGCTTGCGACGGAATTGGTCGTTCTTCAAGAAGAAGTTAAGACGGCGATGGAACATGGCGCTGAAGCTGAGATTATTATCCTCGGCGGTGATGGTCCTGGAAACTTTGGGCGAGTTACCGAACAATACAGCATATCCTTCGGTGAAGCCCAGATCTTTCGACTCGAAGAACAGCTGGCGCCCTTTGTCTCCAGAAAGCGCAACAATCATGTTCGGTCCAGCATGGAAAGAGAAGGTACCCGTCTTGGACTGGTCGCGTCGCTCGCTCCACCATTCCCATCTTCGGGTCCAGAAACCAAGAGCTCCGACGACTGGAAGATCGTCTTTGACTTGAGGTGGCGCATTCTTAGGGACGCGATGCGAGTAGGATAGTGCGCCAATAGCGCACACTGTCAAGGCTAGTCCGACTATTGCGAAGAAGAGGGGGTTGATATCTGAAAACCGCTGGAAGACATCAAGTACCGCCATCTTGCTGGAGAAATACGACTGGTGACTGTAGTGAGTAGCGCAGAGATTTATGGCCTTCTTGGGTTTCGCCGCGCTGAGAAGGGGTTGAGGGCAACCCTGATATAGATAATGAATGCAGTCGCAAACCGAGCGCGCCACAGCTCTTATGTGGAGCTCGCATTCCAGAAAGGCACTGCTGCAGGATTGGCGACGCCTGGCGCATCATGGGTCATATCTCATCGGTTCTGCGGCAAGCGTGGTAGTGACGCTGCGCATGGCAATATCAAGCAAGTGTTAGAGTGAAACAGTAACAGGGCTACGAATTGGCCGATATACTCAGTGGCGACACAATCAGCATGCTCGCTCGTATTACTACGGGCGTTTGTCTGTAAAGATGCACATGTGTGATCGCTTGCCGCTGCTCCATACATTCCCCGGCCCGTCCTGCAGTCGTAATCCTCGGCATCGCAGCCACAATTCATACAACCATCGGCCATCGGTTCGGCACTCGGTTTCCGATTGGAAGTGTCTAAACGAGACACACCAAGCACACGGCCACCGGATAATATACCTCGTCTGCAATGGCTTGCATAGACGAGAGCCCGAGAGGGTGGAGCCGATAGTCACCAAAGCACCTTCCTTTTTGATCCTGGCACTGAGGATGCTGCAGCTGAGTAGGATCCATGGTCTTTTCCTGCATCTTCTCGAGAAGAGTGAGGACTCCAGGACCCTCGCTCGCTAAGGAAGCGAGCCATCGGATTAAAGTCGGCATAGGACTGCTGTTTGCACCCGTTTGCCATGATATGAGCAGGTGTGAGCTCGCGCGCAATCTCGTTGTATCCTCCCCTCCCTCTCCCCAGTCTAGTGTAGTTGTCACTGCCCGTAGCATCGACGGGCACGGCGCGAACAGAGATGTCCATGCCCATGCCTGTACCCATGAGGTCGTGCTCCATACTGTTCGGACCTGCTCCTTGTGTGTGCTTTTCTTGTGTACCGACGTGATCTAATGAGACCAAGTTCCGTTCGGGATTTCTTGTGGACTTCTGCGACGTGCCTGCTGGTCGATACCGAGGATGCTCGACAATGATACCGTCAGGCCGCTTGACCGCGCGGTACTTCTTTGTAGAGCGCCGGGGTTTGCTCTCAAGTGTCATCGTAATACCAAGGTCGGCGTTCAGAGGTAGGCTCGGGAGGATTTGCTCGTTCGGTTCGATCGATTTGGACAACGTGTGTCTTGGTTCGCGCATGTGGAAGTGAGGAGACTGGTGTGAGGCTGATTGTGTAGTGGGTGTGGATATGTGGTATCTGTAGATGTGGTGATAGCTTTCTCCAAGTCAGTGTACAATGCTTGTCCTTTGTATACTCGAAGTCAGCGCAACGCGAAGGATACCGAACGTCGTCAACGACGTAGCCATGGTCTGAAGAGTCCAGATCTCTCCCATCGAGATCATAAACTCTCCACCTCCCTCATCTCACCCTCTCTGGCACGACAAGCACACCGTAAGGTAGATGCCTTGCGCACAAGTGAGCCTGATCGACGTTATACACACCACAACGACATCATACCAGGCCCTGCGGTTACGACGATGGCGGTCTGGACCCGTGGATGCGCCCTCTATCCGTCTGCAGCCCTACAGTATGCAAGCCCGTTAGAGCACTGCAGCTCTGTCCGACATTTTGGTATATCCAGAGCTTCGACCGACGTCATATCGAGTGCGTCGCACGGGAACCTAGACCTTCGGAGCGACGGTTGCGCTGCTGAGCCCCTGTCGCGTATCGTGGCCGTGAAGGGGTGCGCCTCAGCTCAAGCGCGTGCGGCCACACAGCCCCCTGCGCAGCATCGCGAACATGTCGTCATATGTGAAGCTGGCAGCTGGAATAGGCTTCGTGGGATCGTCTGCGCGGGTATCGGGGGCAGGCGTCTGAAATAGCCAGAGGGTCTAGATTTTGATATCGTGGGGGGCCAGAAGGCAGAAGATGGCGAAGGGGAGGCAGGAGGACCGGTAATGATGTCAGGGCGCGTGCGCAACAGCAGACGGGGGTGAGCAACCCATCGCTTCTTCACAACACCAACACGACGCCAGGCACTACATCACTGCAACAATCTTCACATTAACCTTAGCTTTTCTTATTCGTCTTTTTTGTTTTCGCTGAATGATCTGCTTTTCGAGTCCACCGCAGCTTCATTGGACAAGGCCCACCCTACGTGTCTGCTGTCACCCATTTTCACACACTCAGGTCGTCATTCCATATCGAATTGTCGCAATAACCCCTTCCAACCAATACTTCGCATATCAGGTCCATGGATTAGACAGCCCCGTGATACTGTCGAAGACGGCGCCATCAAGGAGACCTTAGCACATAGCCAAGTGCTGCCATCATCTCAGGTTCCTTCTCTAACTGATCATGTGTAGTGGCCAGACACTTCTCGATGACAGCGATGAGATCACCGGTGGTATAATGTCTTTCTGGCTGTTTCGCGTCCGCGTAAAGCTTCCTGGTCTCCAAGGCGGTAGTCAGGTTACCGCTCGGTTCCTCCCATCCTATTTCGCGGAATTTAGTAGTGCCGAAAGCGGTGGTTAGGCCAACACGCGATGCCCGCCATCTCTTAAGCGCAGCCGGGAACTCCTTGTTGTTGGAGTAGGGAATGGATCTATAATGCCAGCCCATGGAGACGATGTTATACGGATACAGCAGCTGGACTTCGCGCAATCTTGGAAAGTTGACATCATCAGCTATCAGATTGTCGAGCCACTGTGTGCCTGGCCATAAATTTTCATGGCTAATGCTCGTACGGAGAGACTCGAGGGATGAAGGGAGTACGTGGCGAAGCTCAGCCGTTGCTGGATCACGAATGCGATGTCCGAAAGTAGCCCGGTCGTGGATGCATAGCTTGTCGAATAGGTATTGGTATGGGATCACCAGCCGCTTGAGACTTGAAAAGTCTACCGGGTCCAGGCCCATGATCAGACTGTTGTGCAGATATTCACCGACAAGACTAACTTCGACATTGATCTCCTCGAGTCGCGCTTGAAGATCCGATCTCGCTTGTCGGATTGGTTGATGCGTTGATATGGTTGCAGGCTTGTTGTGACAGACGAACGCATTATATGCGTCGTTGACTTCATCGAAGATGGTGCCGGACATCCCATTGAAGGATGTAGCCTTCAGACTATGCGCAAGAGTAAAGAGAACGGTCATACTCTCGAAAAAGCATACTGTCCATCTTTCCGCGTCTGTCGTGCTATGCTCATAGCAACCCCTGCTGATTTTCCATGCGGTGTAGTGTTTTTCGTATGAATCACGCGCTACGTCCATCGTCATTGGTCCGAGACGAAGATGGGTGAAGGACGCGACCAGATCTGGGTGAATTCGCAACATCGCGTTCAGCTTCCACAGGTTTGCGGGCTCGACAGTCGCTCGTTTGATAAGACCCTCTTGTGCTATTGGACGCATACGACGACAAGTGAGCGAGAGAGCGTGGAGGTCTACGATTTCGACTCCGCCAGTGATACTGACCAGGAGCTCATCGGGAAGTCGCAGTATCGCGGTCCTGGGTTGCGACATGGCGGCGGGTTGTGAGTTGAATCTATTCCGGAAGTACAGATCTGTTGATTTTGATTGTGTAAAAGGCTGGATTGTTCAATGTTGCTTATGGCCTTGAGCCACGCTCGAGCCACGCTAACTGCATCGGGTAGGCTTCTGGTGGTGAGAGAGGAAAGAGCTCTTGGCAGTTGCACAATCGTAACGCGATTCACTATGGAACTTGCTAACCTCTACGGACCTCTCGCCCGAGTTGTACCGTCTCAGGCCACGTGCGCAAATTGCGGTCAGCGGACCCTTCTACTTCCATTCTTGCCCCGTCCTTCGCCGGGATCATAACACTGACTCTACCTCGACTGCGAAATCAGTGGGCTGGGATACACCTCATGTGAGCGCGCATTTCAAGCCATATACCGCTCCTTCACCGAATCCGGAGAACTTGGGAGCGTGTAACGAAGCTGCACTCGCGTCAACAGTGTACCCTGGCGTCAATGTCCCCATATAATACTAGTCGACGATCGAATTCCAAGGATATACACCTTCCATGACTTGCTACCTTCGACTACCACAATTGAATCACCACTCTACAGCACTGGTTTTGATCGAACTTCCGTTCGTGTAGACCATGTCTTCAACATGCGCAAACGTGTGAAGATCGGCTCCGTAAATATGTTAGTCGATATCGGTAAACTGGTTGTCGTTTTCGTTGCGGCCCCCATACTCTACCACACTCAGGTATCTTACTCCCCACGATGAGCACCCTGGAAAAGTCACTCTCTCATGTTCTGTTCAGCACACGATACGCTTACCAGTTTACCTACGTCAATCCGGCGGATCTCATCGAACAAGACTGCTGGATATGCTTGCGCAAGTATTTTAGCCAAGAAGAAGACGACGACGAGGGAAGTGACTCAAGACCCGAATGCCTACCCATAAGGCTACCATGCGGACACATTGTTGGCCAACACTGTTTCGAGAACTACCGGCGCGTCACCAACGATGTAGAGCAATGTCTCCTATGTCGCCAGAAGCTCCTTCCACTACTCCCTCGCACGAAATCCACTGCTCTCCTAGGCAGAGTATGTCAAACACCCTGGTTCCAGTGGCACGACCGCAAACTCGGATGGACCCCGTTCGGCGTCGAAGACATGTATGCATCAAGCAGCGGGATCAAAATGTACAACGGCGAGGTACTGACATGGCTCGACGTATTTATCATTATTGTGCACGACGAAGCCTCGCGCGCGTTTCTCTTCATCACCCTTCCCATATTCGCCATCGTCGCTCCTATCGCGGTCTTCTGCCTGGCTTATCAGCGATTCGGGAATTCACCTCCATCGTACGTCGCTATCCACGATCCAGCTTTGCACGTTGCGTATGGCACGTACTCGTACGGTTTAATGGAACGTTTCCCTGAATTACGACTCTTATGCGACATTGCAACTGGACATGCAATCTATGACCGCTCGCGTTCTGGCGCGCGTTCTGGCGAGGATGTCGCACCTGCCGTTTTCTTTATTATTGCAGGCTTTGCGTTCACTCGTTTGACATACGAGACACACTTTCCAAGGTCCAGTAGGAATATGTTGAAGTTTCTAGTGTACGGACGGCTGGTGTATGCTGTGTTGGGGTTTAGCGTCATCATGAGCTTCGGATTTCTAGACATGTTTGCATACCTGACTGTGGCGACTCTCGTCGTCCTAACTGCGAATGCGCGGGCAAGAGGAAATATCCAAAATGCATAGTTCTGGAAGAAGCACGAAGCAAAAGTAGGCGACTGAATTAGAATGTTGGCTCTTACAGTGCGAGGGTGAGATTCATATAGTTCGTCATGTAGTACGGGTGCACAAGAACGATCTTGAACAGTGTCTGGATGTAACTGGCGTTGTGAATCATGAACACCTCTTTTGTCTTACTACGACTTTCATATGTACGGTCTCCGCGACCGCTTATAATTCGTTCATGCCTCGTTCACGTCTCAAGCTCAAGGAGTCCTGATCACCATACCTAGGCATTCAAAACCAATATGTCTACGACTAGCAAACCCTCGCTTCTCGACCTCCCCAACGAGCTCCTCCTCCAGATTGCCAGCTACCTAGAGCCCGACGTGAAAATCGACAAAGACGCTGGCTATGGCTCGCCCACTTGGCTTCCTCTTCATCCCAAAGATCCGCCGACAGCTACACTTCCCCAGAGTGCCGCAGAGACACGGCAAAAACATAGAGAAAGCACGCAACCACTAGTGAATCTAGCATTGACATGCAAGCGGCTTGCACCCATCGCGCAAGAATCGCTGTTCAAAAATGTATCGCTACCGCGCCAATTACAAGACCGCGAACCGTCGTACGACGGCTTTTATGCATCACCGATGCTGCATTTCTTGCGTACAATCATCGAGCGCCCCGATCTCGTGAAGAAAGTGTGCAGTTTAGCGATATGGTTATGGCAAGGTGTGCCTATACGGCCGTTGCAATACCTAAGCGAGGCGTCGGACCATGAGCCAGGAAGCTTAGCAGCAAAGATGGCCGATATTGTGTACACTCTTCCCGATGGCTCCCAGCGATCCGGCGCAGGTCACGCGCGATGGATACAGAGCCTCTCCTGCCCGAGCGAACTCATGGTCGCTAGTTTGATATTAGCGTCTTTGCCTCAACTGCGCGCCGTCGAGATCTACGCCAAAGCAGCTCCTAGTTCCTACAACGTA